GAAAAATAGGACAGAAAATTGGTGCAAAGTATTTCTTACTATCTTGACATTCAAGGAGACTGTGATGGGTTGAGTTTCTATATGCTAAAGGACTTTCAGCCAGCTTTTGCTCTTACACAAGTAGTGATTGATTACAATCGAGAGACAAACTATTTGTTTGTGTTGGACTAAGGTCAAGCAGTACACTATTTGTGCCAATGTGTCATAACTTTTCAAGAGAGGAATGTGATCCTGAGGGCTCTAGAAAAGGGCAGGTGTGTTACATGGTTACTAATCAGCCTTTGTGGGAATGTTCCTGGATTCAAAGTGTCCATGTTAATAAGTCTTGACTAACTAAGTTATTGGGTGATGAGCCATCAGTGTCTATACTTAGAAATAATCGTGTGTGGTGAGGGGTGAGTTTTTCCATCTGGTACAAAATGCAGTCTGTTTGCTGGCAGTGAAATTGGGAAGTATATGTCTTACCTGGGGCACTCTCAACCAGAAGGAATCACAATACTCATTTCGTCCTCTTCATGTTATCCACCTTTAGTGACTTTCTTCTGTGAAAACAGCCTCCATCGGCAGAGATGCTACTTGATTTTGTTGGCTAAGCACATGGTATAGCACCTGCCACTGGATCACCGTTGATTTTATTGGTAAAAGCCAAGGGATAAAAAAGGTAACTTTGCATTAGCTGTACCAGAAATGCAACTAATGTAGAACTACTGGAGAGCAACCATATACCATGGGTAATTACTGCTTTCTAGTTTTGCTTCTTTTCTCTGTTTTAAACAAAGACCAAGCAAATCTTTAGTCTGCATTTTAGCCAACCCACCAAGACTGTGACATCATTTTGCCTTGCCACATTTTCCTCAGGGGATGGTGACTGGGCTGACAGCCCATTCTGTGGTTATGTTCTGCTTAAGCTTGCTCACCTTCACAGCACCAACGAAAGTGTACTGAAAATCCTGAAGACTGTGAGAGCATGGACACTGTCTTTTTTGTCGAATTTGAATTGTTCTTATTCTGTATTCTTTTGAAGAATATCTTCTCAAAAATATTCACAAGGCAAAGTTATGTCTTAAAAATTATCCAGGACATGCATTTTCTTCCAATGTGCTGTAGAGATGCTGGACTGATTTAATAACACTATTACTGTCATCCCTCATGCTCTCCCAATACCTTTGAAATCCTGTAATTACAGTCCTTATAGTGCAAATCTAGAGTACTTGATCCCTAAAGATAGCATAAGAAAAATACTAGCACCAACCAAATTTGTAGGGCTGTCCTTGTAAATTGTTACAGAAGATGACATGAAGATTCAGGATTATATCCAGAGCATCTTAACTACTGTGATTTAGGTAGACCAGCTTGAAAACAGTGTATAGTTTATATTGCAGCCACAAACTACTATGCAGAAAGTATCTGTGAAATGCTATAACTGCAGCAAATCCAAGCTTTAACAGAGACAGAACCTTCTACATCTTTACTCCCATGAACTCCCTTGACAACAATTTGGGAGACAGAAGTCACTGGAGCACAGTCAAGGACCCACGTAGCCACCTCCTGACAATGCCTCTGTGTTAGGAAGCATTGCACAGTGTCCCTCTAAGAGGAAGGAAGATACCTGATGGATAGGAAAGTACAAGCAGCTGGTGAGACATCAAGAAGCAGTATATGCTGCCAGGTCATGTTCCAGGACAGGTGGCCTCAGCCTGCAGCAAGGTCCAAAGAAGGGCTGGTGTACATCAGTGAGCAGAGGAATGGCAAGTCCACCATTTGAGGGGGCCCTAAGAGAACTTGTCTCATCAAAGATAATGTGGAATGAACATGGAACTGTCAAAGTAGAGCTTTTTTCAGTTCACCAGAAGGAATTGAGCAGTACCTCTCATGAAGGAGACTCTGTACTGCAGTACAGCAGTCCTGTGGAAACTCACACCAAATCAGATGAGTCAAAGACTTGGATTCACTTATGTGGTCCTTAGGAATCAATGAATATCCTTGTATTCCTTGAACTCCAGACTCCCCTAGTTTTTTGCAAGATGAGTAAGGGAGACCCAAATACCAGATGGAGCTATGACGGAGACTTTCCAGTGTTGTCTCCTCAGAGAAAATGACAGGGCAGGGATGTTCTGAACATGTAGCTTCTTCCTCCCTGGCTTAGTGGCTTGTGCAGAAACCCATCTTCTTAAGAAACATCTCATTTGGTGCCTCAGGGTGTTTTCAACAGGACATTTCTGCAAAAGTGCTCTCTTTAATGAGTGTGAACAAAATCTGTCTGCTGACACCAACACCTGGATATCAATTCAAAAACTAGAAAAAATCTTGCATCCCATGAAAAGAACGTGTACTGTGATGCAACACATGTGGGATTTTCACCAAGTATGGTTCACAGGGCATTAAGTTCACACTTTTTCCAAGACTAATTAGTCAATAGTATTGCTGATTTATGTTTCTGCCCTGTTGCAAGTTTGCTGCACTGTTTTGGTCTGATTTTCACCTTGTGCTGGCAGTGATTGTGCCTACCTGTCATGCTGGTTATGTTGCCACACGAGAAGGACATGAACTGGAGTTGACATAATCTGAGTGTTTGATCCTTTGAGCCTGAAACTGCTCCCACCCAAAAGAATTTGTTTGTCCCTGTAGATATCGCATGGTAAAAAATACCAGAAACTCTTTGGGTTTTTACATTTTCTGCCTCAGTATTCATTTCAGCCTCTGAAATGATAGCAGACAAGGAGCTTTACTGAAAAATTGTGGACCCTGGAATCTTCACTCTGGTTTTGGAAACCAGGCCTAATGGTTAACTGGTATTTTTTAAGTTATGTCACGTGACAGGACAGGGGCATGCTAGTGCGATATCCTCCAGACATCTCAGCTGATGTCCTTTTCTAATTTGATGAGTAGAAACAAGTTTCTGTGCTGTATAGATATGAAGGTATTCAACTTACATTATGTATTTTGAAATAAAGCATAACAGAATACTCCTCTGGTTCTATGTGTACCCTAAGGGCCTTATTTATGACACTGCTTCAGGTGTTAGCAGCTCTGCCTCTTCTTGATGCAATGCATGGGAAGTATTTGGACTAAAGTCTGTCTTCCATCTGGTCAGTATATAAAGTGACAGTGCAAACCCACTGAGATCACATGTCCTCACCATAGTGGCACAAATGCCTCTGGTCAGGGTGCAGGGGATGGCAGTGAAGCAGTGTCAACAGCAGAAAATATTACTGGACCTTTGTGGAAGGATAACTGTACCAGGGCAGTGATATTCCAAAGGCAAGGGAACATATCCAAATTAAGCTCACTCCTCCTAAAAGTAGCACTTTTTTTGGCAAAGCAAGGAATATTTGTAATATTCCCTTCTGATAGAAATACCAAAATAGCTGATTTTATATCAATTAACTCAACAAAAGTTCTCTTTCTTTATCTCCTTCTACTTCCATTTGTTTATATGAGAAAGTTACATTTTTTTTCCTTCTAACTCATCTAAAAAGTGTTTCAGGAACATGCAATTGTATTTACTGAGATTTGAAATTTCATCCAGAAGAACTCTTTGCACAAATGCAAAGAAAATGAGAAGATTCCTGTCCTTTTGTCCTTTTTCTTCTTTCACTGTTCTTCATTCTCCCTTGCTATATAAATATCAAGGAAAATCAGCGCTGTTAATTATTTCTGGCTGTGTCAAAGAGTCCTCCAAGATATTGGAGGAATCCACTCCAATGGACAGCAGTAATGCAATAAGAATCTTTGAGTACTAGCAGAAAATTATCCACAGAGGAACAAATTGCTTTTTGTTTCCCCACAAAAATCAATGGGACTTTTATCTGACTGGTTTTCAGACTTTTCACCTTAAAGATTACTCAACCATTGTACTTCCCTTGAGACTATGCCAATACTTTTTTTTTTTTTTTTTAATGAGAGTCAACTGTTCTTTTAAGCTTAGTAAATTCTCAACTTGCCAAGGTAAATATTCTAGGCAAGGAGCTACTTGTCAGAGTAGTCCTGCTATGATAATGCACCCTGACCTTTCAAGCAAGGGGCATTTCAGGTTATGAAACAAGCCCTGAGCATGTAAGATGCTGCTGGAATGCCAGCCTTCACTCTCTTTTCATGCCATGTCCCTGCAACCTGACAGTGTCTCATGGGGCCTGCCTTAAAGGTTGTTTTATGCTGTGACTTTGGCTGCAAGACTGTTGTCACTCCTACAGAGAGAGCAAGTGTGCTTGAAATCAAGTTGTGTACTTAAAAGCCTGTCTGTGCTGTTAAGGAGGGCACAGCTCTAACATCTTTTTGCTCATGCTATTTCTGTAGCCTCTGTGACACCAGCTAGTCCCTTTTGCTCTTGTGGAAGAGCCTGACTGTACCATAAAATGCCCATCTGAGTAATGTGGGTGACTGCTGCTCCATCTGCCACGACAGGAATTGTGCCCAACTGTGGACTTTAAAGATGTTGCTTGTTTTGTTTCATACCAAAGCAGACAGCAAACCTCACTGTTGTCTATAGGCAATCCATGCACTGACAGCTACTGTGTTTTACTTCTCTGAGCAGCTAGAGATCAGCTTCATGAGATCAACCTGTCCATGGAACTGCCCACTTCCTCTTCCCTCTTCTTTTTCCCTTTGTGTGGGCCATCCCAGGTAAAAGCTGGCAGCTGCTGAGAGCCTCCAGATGCTGGAGGAACTGCAGATGCTGAAGGAACTTTGAAGTAGGTGGTAGAGTTGGCTCTGCCCTTCTTCTGTTCTCAGTTCCCAGGTGGCATCTTTCAACTGATGCTGCCATGACAAGGAGAAGAAAGCACCTTGGGAAAGTTAAGAGTCTGCTTCTTCCATGTGAGTTAGGAGATCTTTAAAGGTATGCTATGTCTTCCTCCTAGGACAGGGAGAGAGGCTTTGTGGGGAAGGCATAGCATTTAGATTCTGGTCAGGGAGTTGTTTTGCTTTCTGAGATACTCTGAGATTTTTGACTTTACACAATAAACTCAACTCCAATGCAAGGGTAAGGAAGAGACTCACCCGTGATGCTGCTTTCCTTGTGTGGTGGGGTGGGAATCACAGGCTTTTCTTCCCCCTTCCAGGTCCTGGCAACTGCTACTGCTGGCCATGGTGAACATTCAGGAAAGTTAGGTCAAAGTAGGTGAAGTATATTCCTGGCTGAAGAGACCTTTCAAATGTCTAAATCAAGTTTCACATAAACCAATTTTTAAAGTGATGTGTTCCACACTACTGTCTCCTCATCCTGCATATCCTCTTTCTGAACAATATTCTTGAATATATTTTTTTCTGCTATTGTATGGATTAGGATGTTATACCAACTTCCTGCTCAGAAGAGCCAAGGCATTAATAGATAAGAACTTCTTGCCAATGCTAAAGAGGCAACAACAGTGTTGTCTCTGCCTTGCCTATGGAAACTGGCAACAATAATTTAATCAAGGCCTGATCCAAACCAATAAACTCTGTTGTACCTTTCAAGTAACAGCAGCCTGTTCTCAGAGGCAAAAAATATGGAGGGAAGAATAAATACTAAAAGCAAAGTGGGATGATTTGTTTGTCACTCTTAAATTGAACATTGAACACAGGTATGGGTTTTTTCCCCCTTTGCTCCCTAATTTCTCTTTCCACTTTGTTTAAAAGGACAGAATTTGAGGGGTTTATAATCCAGGGATCTTTTCATTTGTCAACATCGTCCTATTCTCAAGATTAAAACAGGACAACACACTCAGAGAGGGACTCACACTGATAACTAAACCAGATTAACCATTTCTTGCCCTGTTTTGATACATAGGTAGGCCTCATGCACATCCACAGATTGAAGTGCTGGTTTTGCAAGAGGGTATTCTGCATGGCTGTGGGTCACAGCATGTGATCAGGCTGACTCCTCTTATGTGCCTCTGCTCCCAAATCTCAGTGGACGCTCCAGTATTCTGCATAATTTTTCTTTCCTGTGTTCAGTAACTGCTTCATTTCCTTAATGAGACTAACCAGCAATATTGGAAAGATTTTAGCTGTGGGTTATCAAACTCATATGGCACATGAGCAACCAACTTCCCATCCCTGTTTGTCTTTGGCTCAAAGATTTTATTTGTAACTGAGTACACTTGTACTTTGTACTGTAACGTCATATTGTAAACCCTTCATAACCTGAGAATGTCAGCCTGGGATCATGGGTATTTGATATCTCTCAAAAGAGTGAGATATGCTACAGCTGTCCAGATTTGGCTCTGGGTATAATGTAAAAAACCAAATTTGTGAGGAGTTATTTTGTCAGTCTAATGAGTTAGGTTCGATCACCAATACAGCAGACACAGCTACACTTTGCTAGTAAACATGAATATAGGATTGTAAAAGGACTGTAAGACTTCTTTAATAAATTTGCATGGAAAATTGCGATTTGAAATAATTTCTCCTTTGCAGAGTTGTTAGCTAATTTATGCCTGTGTAATTGATTTACAAACACCTTTACTCTGTTAAAAAGGCATTTATATGCTTGGCAGTATCTTTGCTATCCATACTCCTCATGTGTAAGAAGCCTGACAATTAATGCTAAGCTTATTTCCATATGTTTGCAGAAGCAAGCCCACAGATAGTTGTTAATTTCCCTTGGTACCCTTACAAGCCAATATGTTTCTGCTATTTTATTTGCAAAATAAACACTGTACATTTACTTAATTACATTTGATGTCATAATTCCAGGTTTTTCTTTGGCCTACAGGGGCTCGGGGCCCTCAAGGCAGCTTTCCTCATTATTAGACAACAGTTGTATAGCTGTAGTTAGTAAATTGTGATTGAAGACATGCATAACAAAACAATTAACAGCAGTTCCTATAATAAATTGAAAAACACACCTTTACAGTGAAAAATATAATTTTCCAAAGGGAAAGCATGAAGTGCAGTTCAAAATTCAAATGTTTATTTGCTATTTTGTCCTCTGTGAATGAATGAATAATAATGTCTGCATTCTAAAAAGGAAAATGAGAAACAGCATTCACAATGAAGTGGGAGAGAGATTGTTGCTACTTTTAATGTCTTTTTAATTTCAGCTAATGTTTAAAACTACTTTAAGGGCAGAAGTGACTTCCAGCAGGGTCTAGTCACACCAGTGACTATATCCTCATGAACCAAGCTCTCTTGGCAGATGGATATGTTGGTCTCTCTCCTCTTTCTTTCCATGCACTTTTCAAAAAATCTCCAAGGGTCATCCTTTTTCCACAGCCCTCTACTCAACACAGGGCATCCTAGTTGCCTGAAACAAACAGTTGTCCCCATGGTTTTTTAATGTATGATTTTCTTTTGATCCCACCTTGTGTGATTGTTTTTCTTCTGTAGCAACTGTGTAAGTGAAAATTTGGAAGTCTAAAAATATTTAAAGCACAAGTTCCTTAGCTATAGTTCCTGTACAGCAAAATTTGCTACTGCACTTCATACTGCATATCTTAAAATGTAGTAGTGGCTGAAAAAAATCACATAATAATTCTGGTGACAGAATTGGAAGATATATTGTGTGCAACCAGCTTTGTATTTGCTCAACATATTTAATTACATGGTAAAATTAATTTATCAAGTTTTCATATTTATGCTTTGACTATTCATCATCAGGTTTCTGTGTGCATTTTTGGAAGGGTCTTTTTTGGGTCTGGTCCAAGCACTGCTGAACTGCTCTGATTTGTTGGATATGTCACTGTAGTTGCAATGCTTTGCTGCTTTTTTTTTCTTTTGCATTTTTATGCTCTGAAAGTAACATCTTTTTCTTTATCTTTTTTAAAGATAAAGACATTCCCTGCTGATACATCTAATCCTTTTTTCGATCCCTTTACAACAGTACCACAGTTTTCTGTAAGTAGAACATGCAAATAAAAAACTGTGTTTTTAACACAATTCCAACTGATTTTTTTAAGTGTCAGAAATCTATGCACTAAGCAGTCCTCAAAAAATTAAAAATATAAATTCTAAGTTGAAATTAAGAATATGAAGCAATTTAATATTCCTATTATACAAAATGTTGTCTGCATTCAGACATTGCTGCTTACTAGACAGAGGACTAAAAGTTAAAGGACAAGGTTCACCACTAATGAAGTCAGTCCCAAAATGTTGTTCATTTCAGGACTGTAGAGGACACTGGTGAAGCTCCATAACATATTTACAGGGAGCATTAAGGGAATGGGAAGATTTAGTCCTCTGTCCAGCAATTGCATGGCCTCCTGCCTGAAACCGCCTGCTGTGCCATCACAAAGCGGGCCCTGATTTTCATTGAATGTACAGCTGAACTTTAAAGAATTATAGTTAGTGTGTGAATGACTACAATGGTATCCTTGTACAAACTCTCATGTTTACCCAAGAACTTTAATCCAATATTGAACTTCATTGTTAAATTTTCACAGAAGACATGACTTAGGGATTTTGATGAGGTAAACTACGTGCAAACCGAAAACAATTATCTGACAATTTAAAAAGTAAGTATGATAGAAATCTTGCTTTGGTGGCAGAGGCATTATCTAATAAGTATGATTAAAAAAGTATGACAAAATTAATTACTCTTTAAGAAACACTCTGCTTATAAACTCCATGTAAAATTACTTGTAATTTTAAAGTTACATTTGCAAAATTAAGCATTTCAGGCTTTGACCTTAAATTTTACTGGTTGCAGCAATCTATATCTGGCATATAATCCAAGATAAGTAACTCAATTCACTGTTGGGTCATGTGAAGGTTCTGTCTGTATTTAATGATTTAAAGAAAGAGGCTTTTCTTTCACAATAAACCTGATCATGTGATTTTATGTAAATATGTTTTTTCTCCAAATAAGTACTTTAAAGCCAGAGTTAGTTAGCCTTCCCAAGTTGTGTAAGTGCCACAGTTGAGCTCTAATTAAATGCATTTGAAATTACACAGGAATGTCACATCAATGTTTCATTATGTCAGCCAAGTCCAGACCATAAGATTGTGATATAAACTCACCCAAAGTTACAGTGCTTCTGTTTTTCACAGTACTCCTTTATCTAAGCAAAATAATGCACCCCCAAAATTGCTTTCCCACTAATTAGTATTGCTTGTTAGACATTATTTTTTTGTCCCTGACAGTTAGGATGAAAGCAAAATTTAGGAGGGCTATATAACATATATTTTCATTATATGGGGTGTCAGAACTCTTAAATACAAACAGAAGGTATACCAATATACTTACCCACAGAAATTTCCATATTGCAGAAAATGGCTATTTCATGGCAAATTCAAATGTTGATTTTTTGTTGTGTTCTGTCCAGAGAAAATAAGTAGAGCAAAATTAAGACTAATTTTTCTGAAATCCCATCTTCTTCCTATAGATTTCCATTTCCCTGGACAAGGTGGAGAGAAAAACTGAGATCACAAATATTTAAAATACCATTGCAATAAAAACTGAATTATGTATGATCCACCATATGATCCTGTACATTCCTTTTAGTGAGTTATGTACAAATATCTGCAGTGAGCAAGCAGCTACCCATGGGACTGCACAAAGATGGGAAAACAATTAGGAGACTTAGGTAGCTTTGGTCTTGTGTTTCCCAGCCCTCTGTCCCAGCCCAAAGGGAGGCGTCTCCCCACAGCAGCATTTTAGATCATCCTGGTGCAGTGCTGAGGGCTTGAAGAGAGCCACAGGCAGGAGCTGTAAGGGAAGGGTAGCTAGGAGTTGCAGGCAGATCTAACTCTGAATGCTGTCCAGTCACATGCAGACCCAGATGGTATTGTTTGGTTTTGGTTTTTTTTTTTTTTTCCTTTTTCCTTTTTTTAAATTATTTTTTATTATTTTCCTTTTTTTTTTATTTCCTTTTTCCTGTCCTTTCCTTCCCCTTACCCTTCACTTCCCCCTCCCTCCTCCCCAACTTGGAAGAAAACATTGGAATGTTATTAAGCAGGAAAAGGATTATGAATAGTGATGTTTAGAAGGCTTTACCTTTCATGTACAGTTTCAGATTTGGTGGTGTATATGCAGTTGTGTTGATTTGATCAGATGAGAAATTAGATGACTTGGTTACCTGTAATGTTTATATATAAGCTTCAACTCAGAAACTCTGAATTTCAGAGATTTCCATAATAAAATGGCAGACATGATGGTCATAGTCTCAGACATGTTAGCCACATAGATTTAAATTAATGAAATTATATCTGTTTAGACCAGTTAAATATTTGGCTTAAGTGTACTGTGCAATCAGACATATATCTAAAAAGATGCTTTGGATATCTACTGTAAAATAATCACCCAGAGCAAACACACTATGGGACTCAAGGCAATTCTTCAGCAAGTGTAGTTTGTCATCACTGCTGATTCCAGTGAGGCTGGGAGAATGTGCATCACTTCAGAGTGGTGTCTTTTTCTCATGCCACAGCGTAAGATCTGGCAGTCCTTGGAGCACAGGGACACCAAATTTCATACCCCTGCAGTTTGTAAGGTTGAGTTTTAAAATTTGAATTACAGATAATTTGAATAGGTCCTATTAGCCATTAATTACACAGAGGATAGTTTCTTTAGTTGATTTTATGTCTTTCCATTTTACTATTTTTGTGAAATTAATGGAATTCCTTTTGCTTCAGAGGTTATTTTGGATCATTAGAGAGGTGTTTAAACATGTTAAAAAGTGACAACAAGCAAGCAAACCTAACACAGCCTAGGAAAGCCTGGGATCAAATAGTTTTCCCACTGTTTAAACTAAGTTTGTGAATCACTTGCAGAGGGTTGCAGAATTTGAGAAATAATTAGACCAAAAAAAAAATATTTCTCTTGAAATAGCTGCTTTCTTATGATGGTCACTTTTCCTCCTCCCTGCCTTAGACTCTGAACCAGGTTCAGAAGAAATATTCACCAAGGAAGAAAGGTAGGATATAGATACCAGTAGGAGCATGTTTTAATGATCCTGACACACTGACAATTGCAGTTGCTCTGTATTCTTCCCAGGTCAGGGTCAGACATGCACCACAGGCACTAGCTGCTGTGGTTTGGCATAAAAAATAGCCCAAGCCAAAAAGCAAAACAGGGCTGTTTGATTTTCAGGGATCCTCCCCCTCTGGTTGTAAAAATAGCCCTGTCTTTGATATAATATTGTTGCGCTGAAATATCTCACCTAGAAGACAGGAGATGGTTGCTTGCTGTTTGTCTTAAATCTGCACTTCCAATATTGCTTTAACATTGCCTTTCACTGGATACTGAAAGAATATTTCTCTTGAGGCATGTTTCAGTTAGCAAAAATGGGAAAGAGATGGAGATTTTGAAACTAGGAATCCCAGATTCCTAGCTGTTAACAAAACAGAGTAGTTAGAGGACCTACTAGCAAATTGTATAAGATTCCTGAAGAACATTCCAGAAATCTCATGTTGTCAACATTCTGCATAATTTTTAGGGAAAATACAATAATGATAAGTGTCACTCTCTAAACTGATAATGTTTTTTACTTGAGTGCTGCCAGTCCCATACGTGTCCTCTCACTCAGCGCATGTTGCAATCAGGCTGGTCCCTCAGGCATCAAAAGAGGTGGCTGTGGAGCCTCTGCAGAGGCTGCACTGAGAGATTTTAGCCACAGCCTCCAATTTGTTCTCATTCTTAGTTGCTGTTACTGTGTGCTTGGCAATGAATTGGATAGTGAAGGATGGTGAGACCAGTAGAAGCTAATCTATAGTTTTTTCTTTCTCTGTGTGTGTATACATGTTTTTTTTGTTGTTGTTGTAGGCAGAATTTGGAGACAGCAAATTACAATGCTGTGGGGTGCAGTCATCTCCTAAGATTACGCTGGTGTCTCCATCACCTGTGCTGAGGTCTCTGGCAGAGACTATACCTACTCCAACAGTCCAGACAGTATATACGTCGCATAAGCCCATTTCGCTGGCAGACAGGTACTGTGCAGTTCTTTCACAGAAATACTATGATGTTTTCTGCATTAAAGGAATCAGCTTGATTTCCCTTTTTCTGTCATAATTGCCATAAAGTGTCATTTTCTCTTCTATTAAAAGATTTTTGCTTGACTACTTCAGAGTAGGTAGATTATGTAAAGAAATATCTGTAACTGATACTTTCATGCTCTGAGATAAAGAAAAGCCTGTCTTAATTAACTGCTGCAGCCAGCAGTGTACCATTTCTGTGACCAATGGCCTGGAGACAAAAAGGTTGTGCAGATTTTCCTCAAGCAAGTCATTTTGTCTGAACCACAGAAGTTTTGTTTTAATAACTGCTGTTGCAATTTTTTTTTGAGATTAGATGTTCATGGGTGAAACCTGAGTTTGAGAAATGTCTGTTACTTTAAATGAAAAACAGGCATTGGTTTTCTTTCTTGTTCCCCTTTCTCCTTTTCTTTCTCTTTTAGTTGTGTCAAACTACAGTGGTCTTGTAATTTCTCAGAGAATCAACAAGCTATACCACCTTTATACAGACAGATTCTTTTTGGTTTTCTATTCTTTCATCCTACTGGTTTTGCATGCTGGCTTCTTATTATATAATTTCATCAAAGCTGAAATTCCCAAGCTGATAATTTACTGAATCTAAATGTAACGATGAATATAGTCACTACTTCTGGAGCACAAATAGTTCAAGGCTTGTGAAGAAAAAAGTATTTCTTTGATATAATGATGAATGAATCTTTTATGCTTTTGGATTCACAGTCGATTCTCATTTTTGGTTGTTAATTATTTCTTGCAGCTGGTTAATTGCACCTGCACACTTATTCAACATTGCTTACTCATCTAAAAAAATTATCATTTCAGTGAAAAAGTAATTCTGAAGCTGTAGTGCTGAACTCAGCTTCTATAAGATGTCTCGTGCCCAAGTGGGTAATTCTACCCGTGTTTGTACATGAATGGTCTGTAACATTTCTGCAATGCCATTTAAATCTCCAATCTATGTTACAATAGTGTGAGATACATAACTTTCAGAACAGCATGGTAAACAGTATCAGAAATGGAGTCACTAAACCAGGGCATGTTCAGGGTTACAAATCCTCTGCGCTCCGAAGTGAATTGGTGAGAGCAAGGACCTCAGGCTCTCCTTATGGCATCCTGATATGTGCAGGACTGCGGTAAATTCAGCATACCTATGTATCTATGTATATAGATATCCCTCAATATCAGATCACACCAAGGAGCAGAAGGCTGTAACAGCAGTCTGTCATAATGGCATTTGCTGTAGCTGCTCCATTTTTAGAATCCTTGTCCAGCTTCCTTTGAAATCAGTAGCCTTTAATAGGGGTTAGATGAAATTATAAACTCTTTTGCCATATAGATCTTTTTATATGCTTCTTATTGCCTCTGTTTGCTCATCAGAAATATCAAGCGATACTTGTTTTTGAATCAGCCATCAGTTATCAGCTTTTTCAATGAATTGACTCTGACCCTTTTTTCCCCTCCTCTAGTATTTTGAAAATGTTAATTATTTTAAATTGAAATCTGAGACTTATTGTTGTTCCCATAATTGGCTGTTTGTGCATTAATTACACAGTGCTGAGACTCTGAGGCGTGAACTTGAGAGAGAGAAAATGATGAAAAGACTCTTGATGACAGAATTATGAAATTCGCACTTCCGTCAGATGGAGAATGGATTGGGGCCTTTCATGTGCCTTCTGTCTGTTTACATTCCTCTGCTTCTGTGTACTCAACATAATGCATCAGGAAAATGTGTGATATTCCTGGCTCGCCTGGATTCACCACGGTTGGTTAAAATTACGTCTTGGCTAGACTTTAACTTGAAGGAGTTCCTTTATTCATTTGCTGCTGGGAAATAAACCTTCAATCCTTTCTCTCTCCTGAGATTTTATACTATTAACACAATTAATTTCTGGTTTGGTTTTGGTAAATCTAGGGCAAAGAGGATCAGCAAGGAGCATACTGATTTCTATTGGGAAACACTGTTCTGTACATATGTTAATAAGTGCACAGAAATTAATGTTATGCAGAATATTTTGATAGTAACATAGAAAATATGTCATTTTGTACAACTGAAAATTGCAATGAGCTACTGCTATTTGTTAAGAGAACCATTTTTAAAGCAGAAGAATGATTATTACATCCTAACCCCAGGACTGTTAGTCTCCACAGATTAAATGGCTGTCTTATTATTAAATTCCTAACCTTAACCTTCCCTCACAGATATAAATAGCTGCAAGTGGAGGACACATCCCACCATACAGATATACACACCCAATACTCCCTATAGTTTATCACCTTGACCTAAACCTTCAACAAAATCTTACCGTATTTCCATTAATGGGTAAAAAAGATCCATTGTTTAAAGTAATTTGCTACTGACTTTCTAGCTTGATACTGACTTTTTTAAAGCAAGTAAGGAGCTTTACCTTCTCCAGTTTGCCTAGGCTTTAAGGCTAGCCCATGCTTAGACGTCTTCTGCCCCCACACTGAAGGTTGCAGAGCCTCAGTGGTGTGGACATAGCTCACATAAGGAGAATTTTTTCCTTCCTGGGTAAAAAACCACCTTCCTTACTGACATTAATTGACTGGTCCCCTCCAAGAACAAGAACAACGATCGTTTAAGGAGTAGCTGTTCCTATACCCATATTTTTAACTCTACTAACCAGCATATATGTCCCAGCAAACCTGTGGAGGGCTATACACTCCATTCACCTCCAACACCGAAGCAGCCTCTACATCCAGTGGAGCTATCTCAGGCATGAAGTGGGGTGGGTAGTCCAACACTAGCAGAGCCACAGCTGCAGGGAGGGAATTAATGGTATACAGGTAAAGCTACCAACTATCTCCTAGGGAAAAAAAAGGTCTCTTTCCCCGTGTTCAGTAGTGCAGGGTCATCTAGAAAACTAACAATATCTGACTGTCAGCTACAAGGTATTCTTTCAACAGGAAAGCTTTTGTGCATTTTGTATGGCTGAAGATGTATATTTTTCTGTTTCTCTGTACTCTATGTTCTCTTATTTGTATTAAGATAAAATATTGCCCTTCATTTGGCACTGATTATGATGGCTTTATCTCAGCTTAAGCAGTTTGTTCATGTGGAGGCTGGGAAGTGATTGCTGTGAGACTGGGTTTCCTTCAGAGTTAGCTTCTGCTGTTTTTCTAAAATGAGAGTTCTGGAGAACTTCGTAAGACTGTGGATTGCAGTGTGAAGGTATAAAATTACTTGTCTATTTTATATTTGCTGGGACAAAAAAAAAAAAAAAAAAAAAAAAAAAAAAAAAAAAAAAAAACCAAAAAAAAAAAAAAAAAAAAAAAAAAAAAAAAAAGCATTAGGCTTCCCATTTAAATCTACCAAACACAACACTTTCTGATTGTCATAAACTGGGTCAAAATACATGGCACAACTGTTAGGTAGAAAATCACATTACAAAATTCAATCAAGTGGCTCAACATGAGCAGTGTGCACAAGGAGCCACAAAACCACATCTGCACTGTAGATGTAAGAGCATTCCATTGACTTTTCTGGGTAATCAGGTATGACTTGTATGCTGTCCACCTGCTAGTTGCAGTGCCAGGACACTTCTGTTCCTTTTGTTTTAATGCTCCACTCCATCAATCCAGGGTTCTTAAAAATTGATTAGAAAGATTAAATCCCTGTGAGGAAATTGGAAAGGAGGGGAAAATGCACAGACACAAAAGTTACAAAAGTAATTTCCTATTACTCTTTTCTCCCCACTTCCCAGAAGGTATTGATGAGGGAGAAGCAGCAGCACACTTTGCCTTTGTACAAGTGAGTGTGAGTGTTTTGAAGAACAAATAAAAGAAAAATTTAACTAGAAATGCTGGCTTGGGAGAGGAAAATGAAGTAAGGTTGAGAATAGCAAAGTGCTGACTAGCTCAATCTGGTTTTCTGCCTGTTATGTTGTGTTTGAACTGGCAACAGTTGTGTTTGAACTGGCAACAGTTTCACAAAGTTATTGTCAAGGAAAACCCAGGAAAAAAACCCCAACCAAACAAACAGAAAAAATCTGAATGCACCTTTCAGTCATACTGATTGCGAGGGAGCGGACTTTAGGAACCCCACAATATGCCTTCAGGTTTGGGGGAAAAACAGATCCATGTTAGGACTGTTTGGTCTCTTAAAGCAAAAGCCTTTAGCAAAACTGAATGCCTGAGTCAGACTAGCCTACAAGATGTTCTGGCTCATAAACAGTCTATTAGTTTATTGTTTTTAATGCATCATTTTTCTTCCATTGTATAAAATTTCTTCAGCTGAAATAGTCAGAACTGGAAAACCAGTAATGTGAACCAAGGTTACCTTACATGCCCAACGTTTTATAGCTGAGGCATGCTCTGGGATAGCTGAAGAAGGGCAGAGATTCCTCCTTCATTGGTTCCCACCAGAAGAAGAGGGAAAGGCTCATGTGGCTGCTCAGATTTTGTGGGACATTTTCTACAGAACAACTCCAAGTATGTTGCCTTGTCGTGTTTTAGTGTCTTATCCACTGGCTGCCACTGTTTCCTATTCTGCAGTCTAATGGAACTTTACTAAAACTGTTTTACTGATATCAAACTAAACTTATAACTGTGGAATGTCATCATCTTGTTCTTTCTTACTATGTACCTTCTTCAGCCATGCTTGAGCATCTCAGTTTTCACATCCTCTGAAGAAACACTTCTGCCTCACCTCTGGTTGGGAATTACAGTGTTAGGACACCTGTTACCCAAAACTGCTGTGAACAAGACAATGGCAACATGAACATATTGCAGAGGGGCAGATAGTGCAGATTTTCCCCTACAATTAAACTTTACAGGTGTTAAAGGATACTCTGCCTGAAGGTATGTCTATATATTAGTGCAGAAGTATCTGAGCTAGCTTTAAGCTTGCATATGTAGTTGTGGCAGCATGAAGCCCAGCACAGGCTATCATTATCATGTACATCGACATGTGTAAAGATAACGCATTTGAACAGCAGCCTTCTGAAGCATGGTCTCCAGAACTGGTGACAGTAAAGGGTGGCTGAAAGGATTTTGTCGCTTCAGCTCTCCTGAGAAAGGGTTCATCTCATCCAATATTAAAATGCCCAGCTCTCACCTGATGAGCGATCAAAGGAACTGTCTTCCGGAGGTGCCTCTGACCTAAGTGTCTACCTTTATAATGATTAAAGTTAAGTGAGATGAATCCTGCTTTCCATCCCTCTGGCTAGGTTTACATTGCAAACCCTTGCTGACTCATCATCCAGGGCTCAGCTTCGAGGTACAATTTGTGGTCAGCCAAGCTCTGCCAGTGAAAGCCTTGAGAATTAGGCGTAAATAAACTGCCAGATATATCCTTTTGTCAGAACAGCTTTTATCCCTTGTGGGGGAACAGAGAGCTGGGATAACAACTTACAGTGACATAAGTGCAGAGGCTTTGCTATAGTCCTGCTCCAACTGGGAGTACCTGGTTGATGAAATCTCCTGCTATAGCCACGCTGACAAAGCTAATCAGGGGTGGCCCCAGCTTTTCACAGTGCCCCCAGTGATGCTCTGGCCCCGTCAGCAGATCTCAGCTTTTCAGCCTGAAGTCTCTAAGCAGTGGAATGCAATGTTGTCATGTTTGGGTGATTCCAGCAAAATTTATTGGCCATTTAAATAGCTATGCAAGGAGTTAAATATTTTCTCATTTTGCAGTCTCTTACGGAAGCCAACAAATTGTGCTTTGTTTTTGTGTGGCTCAGCTGTTTCCACTATTTTGTTTTAAAAGTAATAACTGAGTTTTCTTTAGAAATGTTGGTTGAGATTCGACACCTCTCTCAGATCCAATTGTGTGGGTACACTTTTCATGTTTCATAGACCCTGGAAGTGCAAAATTTGAAAATTAACTCCTCCAAAGTTTCAGTTCATGGCTTCACTCTCTTGCAACAGGATGCCTTTGTGCCCATTTGAAACAGAGCTAGCAATGCAGTGACATGTTTAATTGGAGGCAGCATCATGTTTTGTTTGAACTGTTTACAAATAGCCTTTGCTTTTATTTATTTTTTTTTCTGAACACATTTCTGGTTCATTTGCTACAAAAAACTACTTGTAATTATGCAATGGAATTTTTTTTCCTTTTCTTTTTTTTTTTTTAATGTCCTAATGTTCAAGGAGTTTGCAATAAATATACTGAGACTGATCTGTAATTGCATGTAAGATTAGCCTCACAACTGTGTTTTGTAAAGTTAAGTGCCGTAAAAGAAGCTATAGATGATATGGAGAAGGAGGGAAGATATAGAGTAAGTGGAGGAGAAGGCTTCTTTGGCAGCTGCAGCATTGAGTGGTGGGTAGCAGCTTTAAAGCAAGACTGCTCACACCATTTTGTTTCACCTGAGTAGCAGCATGTATCATCAGACAGTGTATGATGGCATTTTGTTGAAAACATGCCTAAAGAGAAACTTTTACGGCTCCGCTGTTTACCTGTTCCTGTATTCATGCCTGCAATAAAAGAGATGAAAAATAAATTACAGAGTCTGAGCAATTTGTAGTCAAAGCAGTCAAACCCAGGAGGCAAGGGGCAACATGCCAATTAAAGGAAACATCTGCTTGCTAGGAAACTGTATCCACTATCATATAAAAAATTATAATGCAAAGAAAAAATTGAGATATAATTTCTTCATAAAGCCCAGAGGGTTTTCTCCAGCTTAAAATTATAGTCTACTGTTGTGGTGTGCCAATCGTCTGCAGGGTCATTAGGTGGGGCACACTTTGCTGAATACCAGAGCCAGAAAAACACTGGCAGGATTAAGGTAGACAAACACAAAGCTTGGCAGTTTTTTGGGCTTTCGTTTAGGGCTCAAAAGGCAGCAAAAAGTATTACTAGCATGGAAGGGGTGGGGAGGAATACTCTACACAGGGCTGAGAGACACCAGGTTGTTAAACTGCTCCATAGAGGAAAAATTTAAAACATACCCACCAAAAAACCCAGAACAAACTAAGCCTGTTCACTGTAATTTTTTTCAAACACAATTAAAACATTTCACTCAGATTTTTGCCCTTGATTTTGCCTTTCTTTCAATATCTAAATGAGAAGTTGCTTCAGAATAAAACATTTTCCTTTCCTTCTAAGATCTCTAAATCTCTGATTTAGAGGACATTTTGACATTAACTTTCCCAGTGCACTTGGGAAATGATATTGCAGCAATGTTCACCCCATTTTCTGAGGTTGCCAAAACTCTGTATTCAGAAGGAATCTGATCCCTACCATATTTCTCCATCTGGATCTTCTTCTATTTTTATTCTCTGTGTGGGGAAATCAGAGGAGCAACAGCTCAGCGTTCTTCCAACTCTGCTCAATTTATACCAAGAACATTGATTATCCAGACAGCAAACCTTGTTAATTAATTCTCCTTCATAAAGATCTTTGCTAAAGAACAGTGTTCTGAGGTGCAGTGGAATGAAAAGCTGTGCACTAAAAGGTCGGCAAATACTCTTGTGGAATTTGGCTGTAATGGAGAAGCGTGGGGACTTCAGATGTAAATCTGAACAATCTTTTGGTTAATTATCAAATGACTGATCTGTGAGACTGAGTGTGAAGTCATTGAGATTAATTCTCTATCTCTGGGGACATGCTTTCTCAAGCAGAAAACAGACTTTGCATACAGGCACTGTTGAGTTGGGGCAGGGGCACAGTGAGGCAATGGTTTCAGTCTGTGGTGCAAAAATCCTGTGGCAGCAAGGGGGTAGGAAGGCACCCATCAGGGTGCAGACACAGGCAAGGTGAGGGAACCCCAGGCCTCAAGAAAGACAAAGGCCATGTCTTTGCCAAGTACAGTGAAGCCTTTGGGCTGGTCAGTGCTGGGCCCCATGCCCAAGTACTACTTGACCTGAAGGGCAGCCCTGCAGCAAACCCTGAGTCATGTTTGTTGTGGCCAGATGTGCGGGAGGATACACCAGGGAATGAGGGAAATAAAAGACCAACTGTTGCCCTTTCCCAGCCATCCCAAGACAGGTTCATGGGAGCATCCCAGCTTCTGGTGTCAGATGAGGAGAGCAGGCTTGCCCTTTTTGCGAGAAGCTGGAAATAAGAGCAGTTTGGCTGTGGCATCAGATGTTTTTGACAACCCTGACCATTACAACTACATATTATGTGCTGCCAGGAGCATATTGGGCCTGTGAGATATCTCCTCACCAGTCTTTAGGGTCTGTGATGGTCAGGAGAATAGGGGGAAACAGCAACAAGAAGAAACAACAGCAAGAACAGCAAAAACCCACACTGTCACCTTT